CACTGAATCCATTAGCACCAGGGTTCCTTGATGCTAATAGAAACCTTCCAATCAGCATTTTGTGGTCCTGAAATGGAAACTGCTCTAGAAATTGACTTTTGAAACAGATTCCCCCAAAGAGAAGTCCTAATTCTAGGTTCAAACAAGGGGGATCCTAGGGGTTGGTCAGGCTACACTGTGGATCACAGGCCTATGGGTAGGGACAAGAGCCTCCTAGGAGTTGGCTGCAACCCTCTCACCCTACAAAGGTACCGCCTGAGCAGCCTGCAGATACCCTGCCCTCCACCTCATCTTCTAGCCTATGCTTCCCAGGGGCAGAGTCACAGGGCAAGATGTCAATAATCATGCACCCCACACCCCATTTATTCAGAAGCAGCTGGGGTGCAGGGTCTGAAGAGCAAACACAGCTTGAGGGTGGGCAAAGTACCTGGTTTGGAAGAGAAAGGGCAGGTGTTAAGAGCAGTTGCTGGGTTTGAATCCCAGCAGTGTGCTTTGGCAGAGATTATGTAACTTCTCTGATTGCCGAGGTCCTGTTTAATACAACAAGGGTAAGTGTCCCTATTGCTCAAAATTACTGAGAGGATTAAATGAGAAAATGAACGTAAAGTGCCCAAAACACCGCAACAAACGTTGCACCCATGGGGAGGCCTTTTTATCTAGGCACCACCAGTAAAATGTCAGAGAAAAACATTTCCAAAAGGAGCAGTCATACATACAGTGTCTTCTAGGAGAGCAGAACGGAGCATGCCTTTGTGTGGTGCATTGGGCATCGCAGCAGAAGAAAATGGAACAGCGTGTGGGGAGCAGACTGATCCTGGAAGCTGAGCATCGGGGCAAGATGGGCTCTGGATCTCAGCTGGACAGCCTTGGGACAGGAATATGGGGACCCTAGGCCAATCTGGTGGGTGTAGATGCATGTCAGGCAGGAGACTCTCCTTCTCCAGAGAAACTTAGCTCATTACTTTTCCCCTCAAGGACTCCAGAAAGACTGGCTTCTCAGTGGGGTGGGGGTGGGGGGCTACAAGGAGCCGGTCATAGAGGGACCTTTGATAATCTGTTACCACGCCTAAAATGGTCAAGAGGGCCCATTCAATTGTAATCCCAGAGGCCCTCATCTCGGGGATCCCACTTTGTCTGGCATATCATAGAATCTCAAGGACCAGTGTGGGCCTGATTCTCTGAATCCAACCAATGAGTGTCTTTGTACCTCCAGTGATGGGTGGTTACAATCACCTGAGGCAGTCCTTTTAGGAAAAATCTCTCCTATTAAACTGAAGCCTGTCTACTTACAGCTTCCAGCCATATGGCTTCATTCCTCCCTTGTTGTTAAGTGCTATCAAGTTGGTTCCAACCCACACCGACCCTGTATATAGGGTTTTTGAGGAGCAACTGGTAAGCTTAAACCAACGACCTTACAGATAAAACTGATTTTACAGTTTAGCGCATTAACCCACAGCACCACACCAGGACTCCAATTCCTCCTTTGTTGTTGTTGTTAAGTGCCATCGAGTTGGTTCTGACCCACAGCAACCCTATATAGGGTTTCCAAGGAGCAGCTGGTGAGCTTGAACGGCCAACCTTGCAGTTCAAATGACTTTGCAGTCCAGCACATTAACCCACAGTGCCACACCAGGAATCCCAAATTCCTCCTTAGGGCCCCAGAAAATACATGCGTAACACTTCACATCTTTATGTTCTCTCTCTCTCCACAAGCGATTCTCCCCTAAGCTAAGCAGCCCAGCTCCTTCAACCATTGTGCACTGCAGTTGTGTTAGCTGTTGCTGTGTTTCACTTTGATGCCCAGCATGTTTCCCTCTTAGGAAACTCCTCCTTGTCCTGGGAGGAAGTAAACGTGGGTTTGAGGTGGTCACCTTCCCTGGCTATGTGGACACAGCCAGTCTTCTTTTAGGAAGAGAGAAGGAGGCCGTAGCCGATGGCAAGTAGAGCAAAGAAGACGTAGCCTGAGCCCCTGGAACATTGTGGCTACGTGAACTAGTATATTCCCTTTTTGCTTCAGCATGTTGATTTGAATTTTGATCACTTGCAAATAAAAGCCTCCCAATGCACTTCACAGCCAAGGTTCTGCAGGCTTTTAGCATCTCTCCTATGATTCCAGCCCTGTCCTTGTCTGAACCGCTAAGTGGAACGCCCATCTCACAACCATACACCCAGACTGGGTCTGAGCAGGGCAGAGTAGGCCCATGGCCTCCCTCATCTGGGCATCTTGCCCTTCTGAGGGAGGCTGAGGTGGTGCCAACCTCTCCGACAGCCACGCCAGGCCTATGACTCACACACAGTCAAACTCCAACCTCTTTTTCCGTGTGTGCTTCTGGTGAGCCAGGCCTCCCTCACCCACTCTGTTGAGCTGGTTCCACTGGAGTAGCAGTTACCAGACCAGGGAAACATAGGTATCAAGACAGCTGTTTTCCATGACAAATAGGCACAGCTTCCAGGAAATCCAATCAATCGTTAATGCTCTGATCACACACAGTTTCTTAGTCAAATACGCCAAGGATGCAACTTGCCTCTCTCAATCTCATCCAGCATATTTCCTGGCATAATGACCCAAACTCGGCTCCATAAAAAATGGAATGTCTCAGGGAGCACAATAGTAGAAGCAGAGTTTTAAGAATGATGATGCGGCAAGGTGATTAAGAGCACTAGCTTCCAGGTCTCCTATGTGTGTGACCTTGACATCTCTTTGGGCTTCAGTGAGTAAAAACAGTCTAATGGTGACTCTCTCACACAACGTTACTGGAATGGGGGGTGAAGGTGGATAGGGAGGCTAATGGTTTAGGTAGTGACTGCTTTCCATTACACACTTTGTTGTCAATAAATTTCTGTTGGGAGTCAGGAAACACAAAGAATCCTGGCTTAACTTTGGTATCCTGTGTTAAATTTCTTCAGGTTCAAATTCTATGATCTTGAAATAAACCCAACCTGAGGTTTTACTTTGATTCATGTTCAGCTTCAGCTACCACACACAGGACGTAGCAGACAGACATTTCCTCCTACTCTTGTTCGGACAGTTCATTAACTTCTCTTGCTTTGTGCACCAAGTACACTAGAGGGCTTTTCATGATCCACATGTGCTGCTGGGGAGCCGATGGTCTGTCTTCTGCAGCTCCCAGGGACATTGAGGATGTGCTACAAATACTTCTGGGCCAACTGATGGGTCCTGGGCGAGTGAGAACAGAGCAGACAGCAAGGTGACTGACTGCCAGGGAGACTGAGGACAGGTCACACACAGGTAGTGGGAAGGTCAATGCTCTGTCCCATCAAGATGCAGAGAATGGTTGGACTGCTACATTTAGCCTATCCAGCCACATTTGCCTGAGCACTTTGAGTTCTTGTCATTGTTAAGCGCCGTTGTGTCAATTCCGACCCATAGCGACCCTGTCTAGGGTTTCCAAGGAGCAGCTGGTAAACTTGAACCACCAACCTTGCAGTTCAAATAACTTTACAGTCTCACGTATTAGCCCACAGTGCCACACCGTAGGACTCGGTATTGCTTATTATTGTTGTTAAGTGCTGTCAAGTCGGTTCTGATCCAGAGTGACCCTGTATAGGGTTTCTGAGGAATGGCTGGTGAGCTTGAAACCAACTTTGCATTCTAGCGCATTAAACCATAGCACCACACCAGGACTCCCGTTGCTTCCATACCTACCTTCTGTGCCAAGTAATCTAGAAAATGTCCTAGTTTTGAGAGAACTTTCCTTGTTTTCCTCACTTCCTAAAGCCAGGTCTGACTTTGGCTCACCATAGTGTCCTTCCTAAAACCTAGGCTAGAATCAGAACCTGGATGAGCTGTCCTCCCCTCCCTTCTTCCGGCCCAGCTATACCACACCCATCCTGCCTCTCCTTAGCTCCCACTGTTTCCTGACTTTTTATCTCACCCAACCCCAGTCCTGAAGTTCTTCAAAGTCCTGGTACACACTATCTCCTTCCAGAAGCCTTCCCAGCATCCTAGCCCACAGTGATCCTCCTTAGCTCGGCTCTGAACTAAGGGCCAAACAGCTCTCCGTACACTTGCACGTAAGTCTGTTATTTGGTGATGTTTTCTTCTTCCAACCCAGATTGTTTGGAAGTTGCTCAAGGCCAAAGAGTCTCACTTTTTCTCTGGTTTCTCCCTTGGGCTTCTGCTGAGCTGCGAAAACAGCAAGGGCTCAACAGAAGCATAAACCGGCTGGTTGATATTGAGCTGAAGGTCCTGATACGGCCTCAGCATGCCTTCGGGTCTGATGTTCATACCCCTACTTATACAAGGCAGAGGGAAGATACAAGCCCGGTACACTCTGGGAATGCTAGTCTGGGAGTTCCAGAGGTCCCTCTCCCATGTTCTCACTCCCACCATTAGTTGAAGGTCACATTCCTTGAGTCTATTTCATGGCTCAGGCATAAGAAGTGATTTTCACAGTGGGAGCTTTCAGAGATCTGTGGCAAAGGAACAATAGCAATTCTCTTTCCAGCAGCATGCTTCTGACTTCCACACGAGATTTCGCGGACTCTCTGAGCTAGGAAGCCTGAGTTCGAGCTTGATGTTGTATCACCTTCAGGGGCCCAATGTTCCTGTTCTAAATGGAGATAGGAGACTACTGGCGAATCATTAACTCCATGTGGAGCTTGCTCTACCAGCAACAAAACCAAATCATCCACCAAACTAATTCTAGCTGAAAATACACATCATTGGCATGCTATGAATCAAACATGTACCCTGCTCCCCGCACAGAAAGCTCTGAAGGGGTGGGCGGGGAGCACCTTTTGGTTCTGACCAAGGAGAGGATGAGATCAAGATTCTGTGCCCTAGTTCTTTAGCTAGTGACCAGTCAGCAGAATTCATGAGAAAGTGAGGAGAGCCCAGAGTTTAAGGCTGTAAAAACTGAAACCTTTCTGATTCAGACAGATTTGATAAGATCTGCATTGTCTTTGGCTTCGGGCTTTGCTTCAAGGAGGATGGATGATGTGTGCTCCCAAACAGCAAGATCTTTTATGTCACTCACCTTTAGGTCCAGGTACTCCAGATCTTTCTTCAGCTGGAGGTAGGTATCATCAGCCTTCAAATGAAGCACAGAGAAAAAACAAACAAAAAACAAAACAGTTATGAACAGCAAGAGCCAAGAGCCTCTGTAACTCAGGGTTTCACATGTGAAAAAAAAAAAAAAAAATCATTCCCATTTTGCAGCCTGAAGAACGAGGTACCCCAGCAGACTAGCACAACATCCAGGGCCACAGAGGAAGCACGAATGTCTTGCTGCAGCTCAGACACCTCCCCCGCCCCCCCC